TCCATGATCTTCTTGAATCTTTCTTCCATTTTGGCCCTCTTCTCGGTGGCATTGGCCTCCTCAGTTTTGGAGTTCAAGGCTGCTTTCAAGTTATTCACTTATTCCTCGGAGTTAGACTCGCGCTGGCAGCAGAAAGTACAGTATCTTGGAGCTCGGCACACTTAGCCTTAGCCTCTTAGAGTTGTTCATGTAATGAAGTGACTTCTTGGATGTGGGCCATCATCTCTTGTTCACTTTGCTGCAACTAGCCTTAAGCTCGCCCGCCTTAGCAGCCTTTGCCTCCAACACCGGGAGGCGTGTAGCAAGATGGTCCCTTTTGGCCAACAGGTTATCCCACTCGGACGCGAGTCCTTGCTTATCGAGGATTAATTTCTTCAGGCCCTCAGAAGCAAGGAAGTTGTCCAGTAAAAAAGGAATATCAAGATTAGAAATGTCATTGTAGCATATAGATGGAAAACAAATAATAAGAAAGCAAATACAATACCGCTACCGCATTATGCATTGCATTATTACCAAACACTCGCCCGAAAGGGAGCTTATTTTCTTCCTATCTTTCTCTGAAGCTAGTGGATTCAGGTAGTTGGCAAGCTCCACCGGCCTGGACAGCAGATGGCACTCCTTTAAAACCGAAAGAGTAGCACTCCTCCCTCGGGGATCTGGGGAAGGGGTGAGTAAGTGTGCCCCAAATTCCCATGGTCGGGAGACCGGGGAGGAGAAGCATTCCTCTCTCGAGCGTCTGTCTACGGTGGAGAAGACACAGTGGGCATTGGTGACGAAGGTGCAACTGGTATAGAGGGGCGTGAAGTTGTTGGCATCGAAGGTTGAGAAGCAGCTGCAACAGGTGTAGCTCTGATTAGTGGTTGCTCAGTATCTAAAGGCAGAAGAGGCCTGAGGCCCAAACTCCTTGGACCAAAAATAGCAACAGGGGTCGGGAAGCAAGAATCACCATCCTCTACTATCTCGATCTCTCCCCAAAGTGCTTGGACCTCTTCTTTGGTCGGGCTTTAAAGCTCTCCCGACTGAGTGTTCAGTTGAGCTGATGAAGTTATTTTTCTCCTTTGGAGGGGAGCCACTTCATCACAAGTGGCATAAGCAAGCCACCGTTCGTCATATATATGGGCCTATGTGTGCCAAACAAACCTGGTACCGGTGGCAAAACTCCAAATTTATGGGATCGAGCCCTTCACTCGTCCCCAAGGAAAATGGGCCCAAGGTGAAGGGATACGTATAGACACACGTAAAATCTTTTTTGATAAAGGTACCCGCTCTATCATATCCGGAGCGAGGATGTTAAGGTTTGGGCAATTACAGTCCTCCTTCACAGCAGGAATACTAGAAGGGCGAATAGAGGAGGGGTACCTGTTAACCGCCCAAGTCCGTAGAGACGCAGATGGAAGCTTTTCCTGGAAATCATTGACAATACTCAGGTGTTTGGGTATGATGGTGTTTATAGTGGGAGGCTTAAAAATATATATGCTTCTTTGTCTTTGTTTCTCTTCGGGCCTCCACCGAAGAGAAGACCAGTGTTTCTAAAAGATTCAGTAGAAGAAGCCATGGTAGTAAAAGAACAGTAAAATTTTTAGAAAGTTAGAGAAGATGAAAGTTTTCTAAGCAGGAGGAGGTTGAGTGCAGAGAAAATGATAAACTTATGAAAATTTTGGAAGTGAAAGAGGTAAAATGATGAGTAAAAGTAATTGATATAGATGGCAAAAATCGTGATCATGATTACCTCGAGAACTGGTAAAAATATTATTGAATCATGGGGTAACACGTGTTCGGGGTATTAAATGCGAGAAGACGTGCGTCCTTTCAAGCATCAGAGACTGTTCAAGAGATTTCCCGCCAAGAAAGGGATCTTCACTAACTTTTTGGTGACACAAAGATATGTCATCAGAAAGCAGGGGGACTATCTGTATAGGGTAAAATTAGTTTATAATAAATGATCAAATGATAGCTGACACGTCGGACCAAAGATAGTTTAAAGGCGAATCAAGTAACAACCAATACCGAGGACAACAACTGCAATTGACATCGGATAAACCCGAATGGAGTATGGTCAATGGAAGAAGATCGAATATTTTTCATCGGGTAGTATTCAATGAAGAATATTCTCTAACATTAAATGGGCAGTCGTTACAGAGAATATTTGCATTCATAGCCTGCTGATACATATTCATCAGTGGCTTATTTATTATCACTTAAGTGGCTTGATCCTAGGATCTTTTTTTCCTAGGTATAGCCATTATAACACATGAAATTCTTGGCAAAACTTATATTGTATTCCACTTTCGCTCTCAATTAAAACAACTTTATTTGATTCTTTACATTGTTCTCATTTCTGTCATCGAAGACGCTGTTCTCGGAGTCACGCTTGTCATCTTCTTCAATTTTAATCGCTAAGTCTTACTTTTAATCTTGTTTATTTACTATTTTTGGATCAAAACAGTTCGCTTGTCTATAAACCACGCTACAAATTCAATTGTATCGTTTTACGGGCAAACAATATAGTTTCATTTTTGTTAAAAGAATCATTACCTTAATACCTTTAAACTTTAGATAAATGACTTGTTGGTCGGATGCTTTTAAGTAACGCGAATGAGGAGTACATAAATTTTACCTCCTAGAATAATAGCTTGTTTGGCCAAGCTGAAAATATTAGCTTATTTTGAGAAGTGCTTTTCAAAAAGTACTTTTTGAGAAAAGCAATTTGTGTTTGGCTATTCAATTTGAAAAAAACTTTTGAACAACAATTTGTGTTTGTCCAAACTTTTCAAAATGTATTTTTAAGTGTCAAATTACGAATAAGGATACTAAGAGATATGCTTAATAGTTAATATTAAATAAGTAGATAAATAATCATAAATATTTATTATTAATGATAATAATTAAGTTTTTTATATTATTTAAGTAAAATATAAACATAAAATTGAAAAGTACTTTATACTTTCAAGATAATTTAGATATATCAAAATATTATTTAATATATATGAAAGTTCATCCCAAAAGTCGTTATATATTACTTAATAGTTAAAACTAAGTAAGGTTATTTTGTTATATATACTATTTTGCTAAGAGTATATTTGGTTGGAAGAAAAGTCAAAATTGTTTGTGCTTCTAGGGAGAAGCTACTTTTTTCTACTTCTTAAAAATTACTTATGCTTCTAGCCAAAAGCACCTTCCCCCCCCCCCCCCCCAAAAAAAACTTGGTCAAATACCTCAAATTGAGAAAAAGTACTTTTTTGAAGAAAAAAATACTTTTGGCTTAGGAGAAACTTGGCCAAATGAGCAATAAGTTAAGAGAGTTACTTAGTAGGTGTTTGGACAATATTTAAGTTGAAGTTAGAAAAAAGAAGTATTCGAAAGTAAAATCATAAAAAAGTTTGTAGAAGTTATATTGTTATATTCCAAATAAAAGGAAATAACTAATGAGTTCAGATGTAGAAAACTTTAAATTCAACAATTTTTCAAGACATTTACAAAACTTAAACTTATAATGTCACATTTTTAAGTGATTCAATTTTGTGTCCGTTGAAATTAAATCAAAAACTTCTCTAAATTAGCTAAGTGTGTGCTCCTCTAAGATCTAGATTTAGTCGGGGGTGGCTATCCAATTAATTAGGTACGAGGCTGACTAAACAAATTTGAAAAACTAGAGTACTTTTGGAGTTTGAACATAAAAATCATACCCTACAATGTTAGAAGAGAACAAGTTGTTCTCTTCGGAATAATTGTGAGTTATGGCAAAATTAATGAGAATGAAACCCTAGTGATTGAAGAAGAAGAGAGAGAGAAATGAGTCGGTCATATGAAATCAAACCAATCTGATCTTTTTTTTCATTATTCTGTGTATATATATTTACAATCATATAAGAAAAAAAATTATATATGACATGAATTACAAAATAAAAAATAAAGGGTAGAATTGGGTTGGGTCTCTAACTAAAAATTAGTGGGCCAGTTACTTTCCTTTGTTGTACTGGGCCTGAGTAAAAGTCCGGTTAACACCTCCCTTCAAGCTTGAGGATGATACCACACCAAGTTTGTAAAGAATCTCATGATGAGGCTACCCAATTAGGGCCTTAGTCGTAATGTATGTTAATTGATTTATTGTAGAGATATAGTAGAGGGAAATCAGGCCAGAAGACAAACATTCACGGACATAGTCGTAATGAATCTCAATATGCTTGGTACTCTCATGAAACACAGGGTTCATTGCCATGTGAAGGGTTGTCTATGAGTCACAAAAAACAGAAACAGGACTGGTAACATGCAAACCAAGATCACCCAAAAGTCTAACCAACCAAGATATTTCAGCAGTCACCTTTCGAAGAACTCGATATTCAGCTTCAATAGAAGACAATGATATAGTAGGTTATTTTTTGCTCTTCCAAGAAACAAGGCTGCCACCAGAAGTAATATAATAGCCACTAAAAGACTTGCGAGATACATCACAAGCTACCCAGTCGGAATCAAAATCAGCTAGAAGAGAAAAATCAGAAGAACTGAAAAGTAGAACACCTTGAGGCAGGGTCATTCATGAGATATCAAAGTACATGTAAAGTAGCCATCATGTGAGGAACCTGAGGCTTCTGTAAAAAACTAACTTAAATATTGCACTGAAAAAGAGATGTCAGGTCTAGTGTGTTGCAAAAAAATATAGCTTCCCAACTAACCTCCTATACAAGCTAGGATTAGAAAAGGGCTCTCCCATATCCATAGTGAGCTTGACAAAAGGATCCAAATGAGTCAGCAGAGGAGAGAAGTGTTGATAATTGAACTCAAAGAGAAGGTCAGAAGTGTACTTATGTTGACTCATGATGTACCCTTGAGGATTAAGAGAGATTTCCAACCCCAAAAAATAATGCACTGAACTCAATTCTTTGATCTAAAATATATCATTCAAATAAGATTTTAGAGATTGCATTTCATTGAGATCATTACTAGCTAATAGGATATCATCAACATATACAGCCAAGACAACTAGAGAATTAGAGGAAGACTTTGTGAATAAAGAGTAGTCATTGAGACTTGAAATGTAGCCTTTAGAAAGTAGCTCTTCAAATAGTTTTGAAAACCACTGCATGGAAGCTTGCCTAAGGCAATAAAGGGATTTCTTGAGTTTGCAAACCAAAGGAGAAGAAGAAGAAGAGGAACCACAAATGTCAAGACCATGTGGAACCTTCATGTAGACCTCCTCATGGAGATCACTATTGAGGAAGTCATTATTAACATCAAGCTGGAAAATAGTCCGCCCTTTCTTGGCAGCCAGAGTTAATAAATATTTGATAGTAGTGATCTTAACAATAGAAGAGAATGTTTCTGTGAAGTCAATTCCCTCCTACTAAGAGTCACCTCTGATAATCAGTCTTGATTTATATCTTTCAATGGATCCATCAGCCTTCTGCTTTATTTTATAAACCCACTTATAAGGAATAACTTTCTTGTGAGGGGGAGAGGCACAATATCCCATGTCTGATTGGCCTCAAGAGTCTGAAATTCCTTTAGAATGTCCTCTTGCCAAGCAGGATTGGAAGCAACCTGTTGGTAGAACTAAGGTTCATACATTTGCAAATCAACAGAGGATACCTTGGAAGATAAGGGAAGTGATCCAGAAGATATAACAGAAGAGCAGATATAATCCTTGAGGTGAATGGGCTGTTAGACTGGTCTGGAAGATCTTCTCAAAGGAAAGACAGAAGGAGGCGAGGAATAATTAGAAGAGGAAGAAGAAGGAGAAACATGAGAATAATGAAGAGGAGAAGGGGAATGAGAAGTGGAAGGACTAGAAACTAGATTGGATGGAGGAATGGAAGAAGAGGAATGATCAGTGCCAGAAGTAGAAGAGGCAGGAGGAGGTATATAATCCATAAGAGCAGACAGAGGAAAAAGGGACAAAACAGGAGAAGAATCAGACTTATAAGGGAACACATGTTCATGGAAAACTATATCCATAGAGAAGAAAATGAAATGATTGAAAATGTTAAGAAGTTTGTCACCTTTTTTTGCCACAAGGTTACCCCAAAAAATAGAAGGTATGGCCCTAGACTGAAATTTATCTCTGCCTACCTTGGGAGAGGCAGCAAAGCACAAACACCCAAAGGACTTGAGGTGATCATAGGATGGAGGAATCTCATGTAATTTTTCATAGGGTGACAGAATCTTAATAACAACTGAAGGCATTTGATTGATTAGATAGGTGGCAGTGAGGACACAATCACCCCAATATTTGAGAGGAAGATTAGACTAAAAGAGCTTTGGACACCTCAAGAAGATGTTTGTGTTTCCTCTTCACTACTTTATTCTGCTGGGGAGTATGTGGAATGGTGGTTTGGTGTAAGATCCCTTCACTATTCAAAAACAGGATGCCCTTAGAGTTACTCCCAAGTTCAAGAGCATTGTCTGATCTAAAAGTTTGGATAGAAGATTTAAAATGAACTTTGGCCATAGCAGTGAAAGCTTTAATGATGGAAAGTGCATTGCTTTTACAAAAAAGGAGATGGATCCAAGTGGCCCTTGATAATTATCAACTAGAGTCGAGAAATATCTGAACCCATTGTAAGTTTTAGTGTTATATGGGCCCCAAATATCAATGTGAACTATTTGAAATAGGGCAGTGGAATGCATAACACTTTCAGAAAAAGGTAATATTTGTTGTCTAGCCATTGGACAAATGGGACAGAAGAAGGTTTGTTTAGATGAAACATTATCAGAGAAGTACATAATAGATTTTATTTTGTGAAAAGGCATATGCCCCAATCTTTGATGCCAAAACAAATTCACTTTATTAGAGATAAATGACTGATTATAGGAAACAACATCAACAACAAGATCTGTTATATGACTAGCTTTAATAGAAGAAACAGAAACAGGTAAAGAATAACATGAAGTAGAGACAGACATAGAAGTGGATGTAGTAAGGAAAAGGTCAGCATTTGGATAGAGGTAGTATAGCCTTCCTACAGTCTTACCAATTTCCAGGGGCCTCTTCAGAGAAGGACCCTGTAAAGAACAAATTGATTTGGTAAATAAAGATGAACAATCTAGTTGACATGAGTTGATGCACAGAAATCAAATTGAAATGAAAGGAAGGAACAAGAAGGATATGAAGCAAAACTATATCATGTCTGAGATGCTAAGAACCAGTAGAAACAACTTTGACTTTATATCCATTAGGTAAAGTGACAAGGAATGGCTTAGTTAATAGTTGTACATTAAAGAGTAGATATTTATATGGAGTCATGTGATTAATGGCACATGTATCTAATATCCAAGAATTTACAACTAACTATGATGAAGCACACACATGAGAATCCACAGAACCTACAGCATAGCTACTAAACATACCTGTAAAATGTGCAAAAGCAGAGTTGGCTACATTGAAACCTTCATGAGCAGATCCATGGGATAAATGAGCTTGATGAAACAAGGTCAGAAGGTGTTGGTACTGTTCTTTAGTGAATGCATGAGTTGATGGCTCAGAATCTTGTGTAACTGGTGCTGCACATGCAGGTGTAGAAGAAGCAAAAGGGGTTTTAGTCTGGACACATGAAGCAGACTTCTTGCTCTTTGTGAACTTGAAGTCTGGGAGAAATTTATGAAACATGTAGCATTTATCCATAGTGTGTCCAGGTTTCTTGCAATACTTGCAGAAAACATATGTGTTATTCCTCATGGATTCAAAATTCACCTTCTGACTGAAAGTCTTGTTCCCATTGGATGAACCAGGAGAAACCAAGAAAGAAGATGTATCACTATAAAAGCTTGGAGCAGAAGAATGAGCTTCCTTTTGACTTTCATCTTGTTGAAGAAGGGAATAGGCTTTGCTTATGGGTGGAAAGGGATTCTTCATCATAATAGCACTTTTCACAGTTAAATGGGAGTCATTTAGGCCATTTAGGAATTGAAACAATTGTTGATCTTCTATGAACTCAAGCAAAGCTCCACAAGAGCATACAGGTCCTACATAGGAAGAATGTAGCTCATCCCAAAGACTTTTCATTTTTGTAAAATAGGAAGCTATATCAGAGGACCCCTGAGTAGTGGAATGGATTTTCCTTTGAAGTTGAATATATTTGGACCCGTTTGACTGTCCAAAACTTTCATTGATGTCCTTTCAGACTTCCTTGGCAGTCTTAAGGCACATCACGCTAGTAGCAATCTCTCTAGATACTGAATTTATTATCCATGTCTTGACCATGTCATTACATCTTTCCCAGTACGCATAATAAGGGGAATATGATGTAGACTGAGAGATTCTACCATCTATAAGGCCTAACTTATTCTTTGCAAAGAGAGATGTAATCATACTACTTCTCCAAAACACAAAACTAGACCCGTTGAACGATACAGACACCAATTGACTACCAGGGTTATCAGACGGATGACTATAGAAAGGGTAAGACGATCCAAGGAGAAGGGAGTGAAGCCATCAGAAGTCGAAGACACATCATTATTATCCACAATACTACCCATTTTCAAATCAAAACAAATATGTAACACAGAAGAGAGACTGGGCTGAGAATAATAGAAGCAAATAGAAATGCAACATATGCAATAGGAAAGAGTATACCAGCCTTCTTATGAGAATCCGAAGAAGTAAGGTCTCGCTTAATTGCAAACCCTAGAGAAGTTGTTCTTCACAAAATTTGATGATACCTCCGTGAAAATCGAAACTTCGGAAGACATACACCTCAAGCAACGATCGACATTGAAAGAGCCCAAAATTTCTCCGGTGAAAAAAAAGGATGAATACTGTTTTCGACTACTCCCGTCATCGATCGAAACCAAAACAACGAAAAATCTCTAGTAAGGGTACAACTGGAAGAAAGCTCACGACGAGAAGAGTCTAGAATCCCGCTATGATACCATGTTAACTTGGAACAATTGTGAGCTATGGCGGAATTAACGAGAATGAAACCCTAGTGGTTGAAGAACAAGAGAGAGAAATGAGCCGGTCAAAGGAATTCTGATCAATCTGATCTTTTTTTTCATTATTGTGTATATATATATTTACAAGTATATAAGGAAAAAAATTACAAATGACATGAATTACAAAATACAAAGTAAAGGGTACAATTGGGTCGAGTCTCTAACTAAAAATTAGTGGGCCAGTTGCTTTCCTTTGTTAGGACTAGACCTGAGTAACACTCTGGTTAACACAAGCTCTATTCTCACACCAATATGAAAGTTAGAAAATTAATGAATAAAAAGCACGGCATGATGTACACGAGCTATCACGCATCTATATATATATATATATATTAGTTACATAATGTGCTAAGTATAAACTATTCGACAAATTCAAATTTTTGATTGTTCCTCCCATGTTTGTAAATGAAATAACATGAAAATACGCATTAAACACTAACACTCCCTTGGTTTTGTAATATTGTTACCTTAACTGCTTATTTTCTTCTATTATAATACTCAATTTAACCCACAAAGAAAAAGACTGATATTCACTATTAATTTGGAATACCTCTAAATATGCTACCATATCTTAACAATCCGATCTTTACAAATCCTATTCTGCCAAAAGATTCTAGAATTTGCTCACATGTAGTAGTATCCTCCAAATTGCTTTAGGAATTAGTTTTAATCATCAGTTCCACCTTTACCTAAAAGGGATATATATATATATATATATATATATACCCGAATGCCACTATTTTTGCACTAATAAAGATAAGGTTAAATAAGGGGTACCTAAAATCTTGTTAATCGCTCTATATTATCACTTCATATGACGCATCAACCACCACCAAAGATAATTAGTAAATTCTTCTTTGACAGCTTAACATGGAGCACTACACCCTCATGAGTTTTTTAGGAATTAGTTTTAATAAGTTCCGCTTAAAAAGAATAAGTGTAATTGCCCATAATAAGTGAAATAAATAACCTAAAAATATAAGACAAAAGTACAACCTATTACAATAGGTTAAATTATGATATAGAGGAAAATTTCTTTTATATTGATAGCATAAATAATGTTACGTTCATAGAAAATTTATAAACACAATAATTCAGCTTAGTATTTTATAGCTACATTTCTTTCTTTATAGGACATCGAAGTTATTTGTATTTTCTCGAGTATTATTTGAACAAAATGAAGGCAAACTAACGACTATATTAAATAATTAATAATGTAATTGGCTGACTTAAGGACTATTCAAAGAGAACCCACGTAATTAAGTATATCAAACACGTCGGAGTGCTAGCTCTCAATTCCACGACTCTGTCTATTGATCTTAAGACCAAAGACAAAGTAAGACACCGTGTACTTGGAATTGATTTACGATTAACTAAAACTTTGACAATTGACAATCTTATATTTTAAAGACCTGGGAAGATTATTTATATTGAATTATCAATTAGTTTACTAATTATTCCATTAGAATAAACCGTGTTTATTTATTCAAAGTGTCCCGTCATGACTAATGCTTTAACTATATAAATATAGACATTTTATGAACTATTCATACACATTTCTTGTAAGTTATAACATCTATGGCTAACAAGGAAGAATTCTGTAAAAGTTACTTTGAATTGAAGCCAAAAGAAGCTAGTTTCTTTGATTTCATTCGTATCTTCTATTCTACTGAATTAGATAAAAGAAACTTCTTCGATGTTTCGGCCGGAGTTGAGGGGATCAGAGGTTTTCGCCGGCGATGGCTCATTTTTATCTCCGTTATATTGCAGAGATTCTTGTTTTGGTTTAAAAAACCCATGGCCAGATTAGGTTCTATAGTTGAGCTCTTGCAAAATTATCCTTCATTCAATGGTGGTTTTCTCCAGCTTTTGTTGAACATAATACAAGGTTTGGATTTCCATTCTTTCCTCACTTTTTTTTCCCCAATTATTAGTGCTTTGCTTCTTTTTTTTTTTTAACCTACTGGCTCGACTAATTTAGATTCACACTACGTAGAATCTATTTGAGGGAAAATCGCTCCCTACCGAAATTTCTCGAGCTTTGCATTCATCATAAGATGGAAGAATTTCTAAATTTTCTCTATGTATTTTTTTCTATTTTTTCTGTGGAAATTTCAAGTAATTGCTTTGAACATGCAAGTAGAATAAAGTCAAATGCATGGTTCATGCATACAAGATACATGCATTATGATTTAGAGGTTGGAATTAGTGTATGATTTCTTTGGCTTGCTATGAATATCTGAAAATAAAAATTTATTGCTAGAGCCAATACTCTTTTTAGAAAAGCAGAATTAGAGTATAGTATTAAATGATGATGATGATGAATTCAATCGCATGTTCTTGAATTTAAGAATTAGAGTATACTAGTATTTAAGAAAAAAATGTTCTTGTATTTAAGGACTAAGGGTATCTTCCAGATTTTAATCTCACGACTGATCCTTAAAGAAAAGTTGAAATGTTATGAAACAAAAATATGTAGAATTTACACAACAAAGTTGAAGATTCATGAAAATGTCATGGCGTGGATTGCAGAATTAATTTCAGGGGTTTCTTAATTCGTCCAACTTCTACTTATTTTTTATTTACAAGAATCGCGTACGTAATTATTCTTTACATTGATAGTATAAAATTCTTTTCGCTGTAAGCATATATAAATACAATATTTTGTGGTACTACAGGAAAAGTAGTAACGCCGGAAAAGTCATCGGCGAAGTTCAGGTCGATGATCGGAAATCTTGATGTGAGAGTGGACTTAGACAAGACAATAAAGATAGGAGACAACAGATACAACGCACACCTGTCAATTATGGCTGCTAAACTATCTTACGAAAACGAAGCCCTCAATAAAACAGTAATCAATGATCATTGGCAGGTAATTATTACTTTACAATATTGAAGCAATCTTCCCTTCATCGCAAAGAAAAGTTAAAAGTTTTCTACTGAAAAAATATTTACTAAAAATTAAATTGTCTTTTTTCTTCTTCAGATGCACTTCTTGGGGTTGCACAATTTCTGGAATGGTAAGTTGAGTTTTCTCTATCAACCAACAACCATGTAATGTCCCTGAAAGAGTTTAAGTTCTAGTATTAAAGGAGTAAAAATATTTACAGGAGTAATAAATTTTTTTTTAAGATAATTATAAGTAAATCACTATAATAAGGATTAAGTGCAATATGGTAAAAAGGGTACCTAACTAATATGAGTATTACAGATTAAACAACATCTCCATATACTATAGAAATCTTTACGCTATATATATCAATGTGTATAAATTAAATCTTCCTCAAATTGGTCAAACACGTATCTTTGCTTGTGGAGATTCAAATAAAACATAATGAAAATGAGTTTAAGTTATATAATTCCGCAGTGTAAGAATTTTTTTACACCATAAGTCATCCAAATGGTATCTCTAAGTAAGCCTCGTTAAAATGTGAGATTTGTAATTTTGAAAATAAAACATATTACACGTTGTAAAAGTGACGTAATGGTGTAAATTTTCCTGATAGTAGTCTATTTAAGTTTTTTATTTTATTTTTTTTATAAAATTCAACGTTGGATTAGTTTAGGTTGCCCAAATATTACTTTCCTTTGAACAAGTATTTCCAGTCCTTTCGCTGACACAGTTATGAAAATCAGCAAACTACCACTCTGTCCTTCCTTTCTATGTAAAGCTGTAACCTTAATACTATTTTCTCACTCGGAAAACGTAAAATAAAATGCAAGTAGGTGACCAGTAAGCTAATTATATAGTTAATTAATACTTAGTAGATTCCATTATAGGTGAAGTGACATCCTCAAAGTCATTACATTGCTCCAGCTATACTTATCTCTTAAATTAAAAATTCATTTAACAATTATTATAAAATCTGAGTTAATCGATCTTTGACTTTAGCGTTATCATTAAGAAAACAGAATCTTAGTTCATATCCAGATCTTACAGACTAATTAATTAATTAAGCAATCCAAGTACTAGGGGATATTGATATGCAATAGCAAAAATTAATGTAATAGACTGAGATGGTTGCTTTCATTATTGCTATCCATAATAATTAAGTGACCCGAAAAGTGCGCCTGATCTTTTACTAGCTTCTTCTTATGTTGGTTTTACTTTTTGACTTTTTTTTTTTTAACTTATTAAGCTATATGTATATAATTACTAGTGAAATATTCCTTTTAACATATTGACAGCATATCTTCTTGTTGTTCCTTTTGCTTTGTCTTTTTTATCTTGTTCTCGTTATTGTTTGTTGCTATGATTTTTTTTTTATTTTTTCTTGTGTCGAGGGTTTATTACAAACAGTCTCTCTATATTTACCGTAGGAGTAAGGTCTGCGTACTATATATCCTCCCCAAAACCCATTCGTGGGACTATACATAATTTATTTATTTATTGTTGTTGATGTTGTTGACAGCATAGATATATATTATAAATAATATTAAGCATAATTTTATACTTTGAGAGAATTTAAACTTGAGAATAGGTGGGAATGTCGAGACCTCAACATTGACCTACAAATAGAGAACTGCAGTTTACGTATTTAATTCTCCACCTTCTTTGGTCGTAAACTGATCATTTGTTTCCAGTTCAATAGAGTGTTTGATTTTTCTTCTAAAGTAAAGATGAAATTGAATACAACTTCATTATAGATGAAAAACTTCAAACATCCCAATTACTGAGGTTCTAATTCATTATGCTTAAGCTAGTATTAAAATCTAATTGCTACAAAAGATAGAGCAATAGGTTATAACTAATCTTATTTATTGTAGCATGTTTATATAATCGTCTTGTTGTCTAGGTTACTAATCTTATTTATTATAGATAATTATTTGTAATTATATTTTAGATTGCTTGATAGTATAAAAATTTATTTATAATGTCAGTGTACATAAAGAAGTTCTAAGAAAAGATAACACACACGCGCGCTCTCTCTCTCTCACTTGCTTCCCTTTACTTTAATTTGGTTGTACAAAATACTATATAAATAAAAGAAAATAAAGATGCAAACAGAAAGTGAAATATTCTTATTCATTTGTTTGTCAGCTTACGAGGAACAATACTCGACACAAGCCACAATGTTTCAAGACAAAATTGAAGAGCCAAACCTAGTTGTGGTAGCATTTAGAGGGACAAGTCCATTTTATGCAGATGCATGGATTACAGATATAGATCTCTCATGGTACGATCTTGAAGGGATGGGCAAAATCCATGCAGGTTTCATGAAAGCTTTAGGGTTGCAAAAGAACCAAGGCTGGCCAAAAGAAATAAATGATCAAGAAAACCAAGAACAAAATAATAAGGTATTTGCATATTACAAAATCAGACAAGATTTGAAGAAAATATTGAGCAAAAATGAGAAAGCAAAATTCATAGTAACAGGACATAGCTTAGGTGGTGCATTAGCAATATTATTTGCAGCTATATTAGCTTTGCATGAAGAGGATTGGTTATTGGATAAATTGGAAGGAGTTTATACATTTGGACAACCTAGGGTTGGAGATGAACAATTTGGGAATTTTATGATGGACAAGTTCAAGAAGTGTGATGTGAAGTATTTTAGGTATGTATATTGCAATGATATGGTGCCAAGATTGCCCTATGATGACAAAACTCTCTTCTTTAAGCACTTTGGATCATGTCTATACTACAACAGCCTCTACAATGGCAAGGTAAACTTTCTATACTTGACATTCTTATATATAATAATCTAGTCTTGGTCATGGGCGAATCTAGAATGTTAAGATAATAGGCGTGGAGTACCATCATATTCATTGCCGCTTTGGTCATCGCAATAAATGGGAGACACATTTATCAAAAGTTATTGATTAGGAAACGAGTTTATCAGTCTTAATAATTAAAATTCAGTTGTTTATGGGGTTTGTTTCAATTCAATAAAGTCTAGTTTACTAATTGCAGGTTTTGGAGGAAGAACCAAACAAGAATTACTTCTCACTGCTATGGGTTTTACCAAAGGTGTTGAATGCAGCTTTTGAGCTAATTAGGAGTTTCATTTTACCTTGGATAAAGGGAAGTGATTACAGACAAAGTTGGTCTGAAATAATATTTAGGATGGTAGGATTGGTAATCCCAGGATTATCAGCTCATGGTCCAGTAGATTATGTTAATCTTACCCGCTTAGGATCCATCCTTCATCTTCCTCAATCAACTCGACAAGGCAGTCCTAAACACGATTAACTTGCAAGATACATCTCATCTTTGGACTCAATCGGATTTGCTCCATTTTACTCAGTTGGGGCGAGAATACCCCCCGAGTGGTGACTGGTGTATGAGTTGTGGTAGCCATTTAGATTTACGAAATTCAAATTGATTGTATTGCCAAAAAAAAAATCATATTGATTGACACAGTAACTCAAGTTCAAAAAGAACTAGGAAGGTCTTTAACAACTCTACAGATTTATATACCTTTATGTTATAAAACAAAGACAGTAAAGTAAAGACAAATATAGAGATAAACTGATATATTATTCAAACTTCAAACTTATGTACATAATGAACTAAATTCTCCTCTATTTA